CTCTTCCTGCCACCGCACTTCCGATTCCGCGGTGGATATTTCGTTCAAAGAGTGGTTATTTTTCAGGAAAGGAGAGACGCTGGTGTGCCGAGGCGTAAGATCCTCCGAAAAGTCTCTTCGTATTTGTCTCTTTATTTTTTTATCTTAAAGGATTTTTAAGATATGACAAAAAGAAAGAAAAGAAATGAAACTTTTCCCAATTGATTTGCCGTCTTATTATTTCGCAAATAAGAGTCGCGGTTTTGTATGAAGAGGTTTTAATTAATCTTTAATTTAAACGAAAAATATTTAATATTATTGGGAAATTAATTTTTTTCATTAATAAATGCAGCGAGCAAACGAATTTCGCATTCATGCGCTCGGGGAGACGATCAATGTAAATAATACAGAGTTCGCGGAGAATCGTATTTATACGCGTAATGCGACTTTTATCAATAATGTCAAAGTGAACTCGCGTGGAAATCTTAGAAGTCGCAAAGGCGATCGCGATGGCAGGCGAACGTGAAAGAAACGATTCATCAAGATCTGCGATTCATAAAAGACTTCTAATCCCGAATCGCGGCGGCGCTTTCCAACGAGGGGGGAAAGGGGGGAGGGGGGGTAGGGGTTGCGGCAACTTCGAGTGGCCATTGTAATGTTAAGCGTCCATCCCTCGCTCCCCTGCCCCAGCCTCGCTCTTCTTACGACAAAGTCTGTTATCTCGGCGGCGCTTCCACGGCAGGAAACCTCACCCGCTTCTCATTTTCCCGCAAACGAGAGACTAAAACAATAACGAAGAAACGTAAAGATTCGCGCTATTGTTATTGTGGTTATTAGCAAATGAATAATTTGCGCAAACCCATTATCGCTTATTAAGGTCGAATTATTGCTACGGCACTCCGCGGCCGCAACTTAGTGCATCCTCTTACAACAGTGCCAGTAATTAGTAATAATCCTATTGGAGAATAATCGTTGCAATTGCAAAAGTCGAGATTCGATCGTTACGATTCGAATGGTAGATTACAAGTTATTGATCGTGAAATTAGATTTTCGTAAAAATTTTACAGCAAAGTAAAAACCCAAATTCCAATGTAGCGTTAAATTAATATCGATTGTGTCAAAGGTACGATTGTTCGTCTTATTAGTTTCTTAAATAAATGCAAGTATAAAAAAAATGGCAAATAATAGCACACGTATAAGAAAGTTGATACGCTTGAAATTTTTAATAATATATTTCGTTCGATACAATCGTTCGTCGTGTTTTTTATTCTCATTTTTCTAAGCTCAGAATAGAAATAAGCCATTTTGTTGATGGCATTTGTCCGACGGGGGGATGCACGGCAATCACTATAGCCGAATCACGAGAGGCTCGAGGTCAATGAAGAGGAGACAAACTCCGCGCGACGGACTGTTCATGCGAAAGCCACTGGGCTTTTTAATCGACGTCACCCCGGAACGTTCGTCCGTCCGTTGCAGATTAATTTCATCATGAATGTTAGCCCAACACTCGAGGTCCAACCGCGAGCAAACACCCTCCACGCACTCTATTAACAGTTTAAAGCGTATTACAGTCGCGTCGCTGGACCGCGCTTCGCACGCATGATCAACACCGGCGAGTCCACGATTCGCTCGAAAATAGATGGCTTTGCCCGGTCAAATAAACTTTATCTAGAGCGCTGCGGGTCAATCGAAATGTTTAACGCGCTGTAAAATAGTTTCACGCATCAGAAGGGAATATATTCTCTCCTCCTCGCGTTGTTCAAATTTCAATTTCGATGAATTATTATCGCGCATCTTTTGCATCCTTGCTCCGTAGACTCGTCGCATGACGATTGATTCGGCATTGGAATTCTGTGTTCCAAAATGATTCTTCATTTTTTTCTGCCGGATTGAAAAAAAAGCGGTTTTGGAAAAAAAAAAAACGGCATGCTACTAGCTCGCCGAATCGGCGGGGAGAGCCAATTAGAGCGTGTTTCGAGGGGGGTGCGGGCTCCGTGTGCACGCCAGTAGAACAAACCAGAACCGAGGCAGACGGCAAAGCGCGGGCACCAAAGTAAACAGGGACAGACAGAGGCGTCGGGAAGACAAGGAGAAAAATACGAAGCGCGATCCCCTGCCTTTCCTTCTCCTTCGCCTTTTTCGGTAGAAATAAAACTGTTGTATCTACTAATAAAGGCGGAGTCTTACTTTTAAAAGCGCGCACTTCGCTCTCTTACTCCCACCCCCGTCGCTCTCTTTCTTCTTCTTCGTCCTGCGTTAAAATAGGAGGGATTAGTTCCTATGGTAGCGCGGGGGCTTAAGCATTGATGAGGTTTTTAAATGGGTTCTCCTTTGACGATGGTAAGAGAACGCGAAAGGCGAGTAAGGGGCGGCTACGACAACGAGGGCACTGGGAGGGAGGGGGGTTGGGGAGGGGGGGAGGGGGAGGGGGGAGGACGGGCGATATTTACCGGGAGATTAAAAAATCGAGAGAAAAATTAAGTGTTACGGGGGCACGCCCCTGTCTCTTGGACTTAATTCTACGTAATCCTCCGCTAAGATCGCCGAACCTTCCTCCGCCGCGTCCCCCCCGCGCGGCCCCGTCGCCCTTCCATATTATTCCGCTCGAAGAAAGGTCGATCGAGATTCTCGTTTTCCCGCCGCGCGAGGGATATGTTTCTCGTCGCTCGCTAATCGTCCGGGATCACGCTTGTTCGAGGAAGCGAGAGAATTCCGCCGAGAGCCGACGTGGACATTGTTCGAATATTGTCGAGCGAAACCGATGGATATTGGAGTCGCGAGTCTCGCTCCGTGCTGACGCTCGCGCGGCATCGGCCGATAAGTAAGAATCGAACGTCCCCGGAGTGAGGGTTCGGCTAGTTCGCAGCTCGCCCTGCGAAAGTACTTTTTTCCCCGGCCGGTCGCGCTCAAATAATAATGAAGCTTAATTACATGAGGCCAAGTCGATATGTTGGCGGTACAAATATTTAGAGGGCGAGCGGACGATGGTCGCGAAGCGATGTTATTAGTAAATTAACTGACATCAAAGAAAATGCGAGCGCCGGTCACTTACTCTGCTAATGGAAAGCCCGCATCGTCCTACGTGCGAGAGATATACTTGTATATATTTCGCATAGGTATTTACAAATATACACATTTATATATCATTTTATATGTAATATGTAATTTTATATGTAATATGTTGTGTATCGAGAGAGATATACTTTAGATTCTACTATTTAACAATGTCGCATATTTGCAAAAAACTATAAGCGAGTTTTAGACTTTGTTTTTACTAATCCGCTGTTAAATCGTACAATCGTTTCATCGTTTTTACTTATTTATTTCTACATGAATCTTCGGCGTTTACAGCATGATATAATAATGCACGCAAGTAGTTTAAACGCTTAAAATCCATCAAATATTTTGTAAGACGTATACGATACAAATAATATATGAAACTTGTTTCATTTGAATAAACGTGATTTAATTATCAACTTCTCAATTTATTCATCTAATTTTATGCTAGCTTGGCAATTTCTCAAAGTCTCGCCGCAGCTGTCATCGTTGACGAATGAACGTTTTAATGATCGTCACCAAGTCGGAATCCCGAAGATTGTCGACGTTTAAGGGGATGACGCGCGCTTCCCCTGACGGGAAGTCGGAAGATCCGGCACGGCACCGTCTCCTCGCCCGTCTCATCTCGAAGACCGGCTGCTCTCCACCGGGTGTCCGTTGTAGAGGGTCTTAAGGGTGATTTTTTCTCGTTCCTCGGCCTCGCCGGACTAAATTTCGCGCGTTAAGCCCTCGGTGTAATCCCGCCCTTAATATTCAAAACGTGATCGCCCTGCCAAGCGCGCCGAGAAACTGGTCCGTAGCTAGTCTAACGGAGACACCATCACGACGGGGAGAGAGCTTTTCATATGCTAATTGGCATTCGTCATTTTCTTATGGCGCCGACTTAAGTGTGCTTAAGGCTGCTAACTCCTTCCTAGGCGTTAGAGA